GATTTTAATTGTTTTTTACTTTATCAGCTTTCTTAGTCTTATTCGTCTATTTTTTCAATGTTAGTACTGCATCTCACTGCAGAATATCAAAACCAAATTTAGTTTAGTGATAAAAACATTTAGTTTAGTGATTAAAAAATTAATTTAGTGATTGAAAAATTTAGTTAAATGATTGAAAAATTTAGTTTTGTGATTAAAAATTAGTGTAGTGATTGCATAGTGAATAAAAACTATACAAAGTTCAAACTTTTGTGCATATTATTTTAAAAAATGTATTTAGTTCATATAAATAGTAAACAATTAAGTACATTAATGCTTTTATACATGAACACATCAGTGGCATAGATTCATTTATAGGACAGATCTGCGTATTAAACAAAGGGTAAGTGAACGTTTAACTTATTTTTCACAGATAAGAAGTTAAAAAATCAGTAGATTTGCTATTTTATTATTATACTTTACTATCAAATCAAATCCAGGTACTACTGTTTTTTTAAGCATATAAAAGAATAAAGCTGATTTTAGACGATTTTAGATGATAATAATTTATTATCGTCTAAAACAGAGATAATAATTATTTGGCAACAATTTATTTTCAAATAATTATTTTCTCTGATATAGATGAGAATTATTTATAGAGAGTTATAGACACTAAATTATTATTGCTGAAAACAAGGTTTAAAATTACATGTGTCAACGTTTCTAAATACTGCTTTAATAATTTCGTATATAAAAATAATTACATATAATATATGGGTGACGCCCTATTTGCCGCCCCCGGTGACACCATAACTAGGAATGCCACTGCATATATATATATATATATATATATATATATATATATATATATATATATATATATATATATATATATATATATATATATATATATATATATATATATATATATATATATATATACTGTCACGATCATTTAACAATCACCTTAATCATTTTTCATGTTGTGAGATATTAAAAATTACTATTTTTTCTCTTACATCACAATAAAACAAACAATAAAAATTAATCTTAAATTAATCAGAAATTATTTTTTTTAATTTGATGTATAAGAAAAAATAGCGATTTTTTTTTTTTTTAATTTTTCATAGCATGAAAAAATGGATTAGACGATTGTTAAATAATCGTGAGGATATGTGGATATATTATATAAAAGTTTACTAAAAAAGCGTTACATACCAACACTGTTTAAAGTATCAACTGCATAAGCAAAAAAATAAATGTCAACATTTCCACCATAATATGTCACTTGTGGTAGCAGCAGCTGATTATTTGTTCCTACAGCTGACATTGCATAAAGTCCATCTAAAATAAAGCATTATAAACTATATTGTTAACTGAATTTAAACTTGTTGTGATAAAGGTATTTTTAAAGAGCCTCTATAGTAATAATAATTTGCACTCTTTCCATGCATTAACTACAGTAATTTCTCAAAAAAGTTTCTTAACTTTTATTGAGAAACTACTGTAACAGGAGCACTGAAACATAAAACATAACACGATATAATTATTTTAATTTTAAAACAATTTAACAAACTTTACCAATTTTTATAAATATAATATAATTTATAAATAAATATGATAAGGAAAAAAACAGATTAAAGATCCATATACTTAGATGTCATCCATAAAGAACATAAATTAAAAAACTTAAAGAGTAAATTAAATTTGTGTAACTATTATTTGTTCATATATTTCAAAAGAATTCTTTATAATTAGGACCCATTGTTGGCATCTAAGTAGACTCCTAGCCATGAAATGTTATATTCATTGCTAGCCAAAATGGTTTCATGGCTGGTTAACTAGCTAATGCTTGCTAGCCAATATTTTTGTTGCTGGCTAGCTGACTAACTTTCATAGCTAGCTCACACTTAATATTGTATCATAATAAGAAACGCAACTTAGGTTTTAATTTCTGCTAATACAATTCAAAATTAACTGATAATTCTGGAACAAATGTTTAAAAAAACTTTTCTTAAATTTTAATTATATAATCAAAACTGTGAAGTAATGAAAAACCTAGAGCAATAGAAAATATTTTTAATAATGAACATGAACTTCATGTTCATGTTCATTATTAAAAATGAACATGAACATGAAGTTTTATTTAGGGATTTAGGTAACATTGTTTGTGGATAAATGCTTTCATTTTGAGTTTCATTTTCAAAATCCAGAATTGGGTGCTCTTCATAAGCAAATAGCTGCTCTACATGTTGTAATTCATTTAACTATATTCTTATGTATCAGAATTTAAATTTTCTTAGATAGCATATATCCTTTAAAATGTTAGGCATTGTTTTATCCTTCCGTTTTTGTTCCAGTAAATTTAATTCTGAAATTTTTTTTATCTTTGTGAAGTTAATGTTAGGTGAATTTCATAGGCAGTGCATGTTATACGTTCATGACCTAACAGCTTGGATTCATTCATATTACCTCCACCATAACTAGTATTATAAAACAATATGGTTTTCTCTTGAGGTTGGACAGCCGATGTGAAAATTTTAAATCTCCAATCATCTACTAAATGAATTCCAAAATATGGTAAACAATTGTGCCTGTCAGTCTAACCATCCCTCATCAAAGTTCCACTTACACAGGATGAAAGAACAACGGCGATTTGCAAGTTAGCACCAAAGCTTTTGTGGTCATACATATAGTACTGACGCACATAGTGTTAGTGGGAATCTGCAAAAAATGCACAAAATAGTAATGTAGGGAAGTGGGTAGAACCAATTATAAAAGTACATATATTCTAAATAAAACCTCCTTTTATTAAAAAATAATTTAGAAAAACAAAATTAATAAATTTTACTTTAATTAGAGTGCATGTATTTATGTAATTTATCATACCTACTTTTCCTATTTCTAGGGGGGTCCATAATCATCTTTTTTTAGATTTTTTATAGTTTAACCAATTTTTCTTAATTAGTTTTTCATGCTGATTCTGAAAATCATAATCATTTTTTTTCATTTTAATTATTTAGCCTTCTACTTTGATTTTAATAAAAATGAATATATTGACAAAAACAGGCATTGTTAAAAATAGATGAAATTATTACTATTATTAAATATAAGAAAAGTAGAAAAGTATAAATTATTTTCTGTTTAATTTATCAATAATATACCTTATGATTTATAAATAACAAAAAAGGTTAAGCATTATATATGAAAAAAATTTATACAGTTTGTTATTTACTATTGAAAATGGAAAATAACTATAAAATTCATCATATGCGTTAGAGATTGCTGCGGGAACTTTCCAAGTACAACATCTAGGTTATGAGCGTGTTCTTTCGTAGACATAAGATGGATGTTTGAATTTTTATATCAACAATCATGTATTCAAACAGAATAGACTTCCGCGACAATGACCTACATTGTATCCCTAAAATAAAGAACCTCGTTTTTCGAAATTTTTTTTTTAATTTTAACATACCTTTATCAACTTCAATAATGTCTAGTTCCCAGCTAAATAGGCTGCCTTAAAACTTTAATCAAACTAAAATAGAACTCATCCTGCACACCTGATGTAAAGTTTGCTGCTTGCAATTGCTATTCATTTGTTATTGTAGCTGGTTTCAACTATATTCCATAGTTTAAACTTTTTCGACCAACAATTGGACAATAATTTTCCAAAATATTTTTAAACTAAGCGAACCTTCATTTTTTATATGGTTAAAATAATTAAGTAAACATCTTGAAATGGGTTTTTTCCAAAGCTTTCCAACTGTAACAACTTAATTAGAAAGTTAATACTAATCTGATTCCATCATCAACCAAACACATAATACTTTCCTCTCTTTGAAGAACTGAAGCTAACTTTTGCCGAAATACTCTAACAAGAATGAAACAATCATTCAATCTATTTGAGGTATACTTATTAACTGCTTCTAGAATTTTTTTTATTTAGCTATTCACTGCGTTTTAGAGTAAAGCAGAAAATTTCAAAATTTGATCACCCAGTTTGTTTATAAAGCCTTATAGGTAGCGGTATTCCTTTAGCCTGTTTAGAATTTAACTGAACTTCTACTGACTGGAATTTTAAAAGAAGATATATTCTTGACTTCATTAAAGAAAAGTGAAAAAAAAAAAAAAAAATGAAACCTCGAATAGTTTTCTTGATAGCTTGAACAACGATTCAAAATTTAAAAAAAAAAAGGAAATTAAGATATTTTGAAGCAATCTGTCTTTATGATTACTTAAAATGTTTTGTTTAGAAAGAAATTTCAGATACAATTTTTTTTTTTGAAGCAATCTGTCATTTTACTTGTTAAAAACGTTTTTTTAGAAAAAGACTTCAGATAAAACATTTTTTTTCCAAAACGCAACGATTACAAATCAAATTTATCCAATCAAAATTTGAATACCATAAATTTGAAAGAAAAGTTGCGTAACTTTATACGTAAAGAAACTTTTGCAAAGTCTTATTTTTTATATCTTTAAATTTTAAAAATAGAAGTAGAAGGTCAACCATAAAAATTTGCAAAAACTGAATTTTTTTTGAACTTTTCTCAAAAAATTAATTAAGAATAACTGGTTAAACAAGAAATATAGAATTTTGGATCCCCCCCCTACTATCACTTAATTGTACTCTTTTTGATTCCCATACCCCTAAGACAGTTGTTACTTTATGGATGAAGGCAAATGCTTTGGTTCCAGCACTGGATTTTAATTTTGAATATATATTTTTTAGATATATGCACCTAAAATATTTTCATAAATTTAATTTACTTGATCTTCAAAAATTTAATGTACCTCATAGTGACAGTCATGGTATTATTTTTTTTTCAAAAAAAGATGTTTATTTAAAATGTTTAGTTGTTAACAAGTACTTGATAGTTGTGATAAATTAGAAAAACAAACATTACTTAAAAATATATTTTAAAATTAGTGCATACGTACTTTTATATTAAACCCCTCTCCCCCATACCTTTTGTATGCTATATTCAACTCCTTTCCCATTAAGAGTATATGTACTTTATGGACAACTTTTATTATTATGTCATTTTGCTAAATGACGTTAAATAAATTTTCAAACAAAAAATTTTTAAACACTCTGCATTGATATTTGTAATAAAATCATATAACATGAATAAACTCAATACCTATGATTGTAAACTATAAAACATGTGTAGAGTTTTAAAAGACTATGATTTTTTTTTAATTATACATAAATATTTTTGTATGATAAATTTATTTATAATATCTATACACTATATATCAAATGATTTGAATAAAAAATAAAATTTATATAATATATTTTTATAAAATAAATATAAATTATATTTCAATCTGCTTTTGAAATGTTTGTCAAAAATCAGTGTGAAATATAACTTAAAATAAACAGTAAACAAGCTACAATATTATTAAACTTTTATGGATTTTAATTTCAACCTAAGAATTAGAGAACTCAAACTTTATAATAGAAATAATCATTTTTGCCACTTCACCTTTTTTAAAAGCCATATGAATCAAGACGCTATACCAAAGCTCACAGTAGCACTTTTTTTTTAAGATGAACTTAATTTAAAAAAGAAAGCTTATTTTATTCCTAACCTACTCAGGTTAATTATAAAGAAAAATTTATTATCTAAATAAACACTCATTTTGGAATGGTAAATGAAACTGTTGCATCAAGATAAATATAGATAAATATAGATAAAAAAATTCCTTACAGAACAGCAAGGTCCTTGAAAAATGTCAATGACAACAATGTAAACATATTTTATCTACTGACTCAACTTTTAGATGATAAAAATTATTGAACTTTATGAAAATTATAAAAAATTGTAGATAAAAATTCAAAATAAACTTTAGACAACAATTCTAATAATGATACTTCTATTGAATCAAAAAAACCTGGACATTATTCAACTATTAATTACAGTATCAAAACATAGCATCTATGACAATTGCTAGCTTCAAAGGTTGTTGATAAAAAAAACTAACATATTATGACTATATCCTGTTTGAGAGATGTTATTAACTACTAATTGTTGAATCTGGCTTGATCATTAATTAATAATAATCCCTAAGATGCTGTTTAGGAAATGATTATTTCCTGAGACACTAGGTAGTTAAGTTCATTCATAAGTAGCCAAGCATTTAGCTGAATCTTACAGGCATTTGGTAAAATTGTATAAAGATAATGGTACAGTTTTGCTTCCCTTTTCTCCTCATTGCTCAAATAAGTTGCAACCTCTAGATAGGTCAGTATTTGGACCATTCATAAAATGCATAGCTAATGCACAGGACTCACGGATGAAAATTTGGCCAAATTTTTATCTATGAGTCTTAATTTATCAATGTTGGATTAATACGCCACTAAGATCTATTTTATAACCCTGAAAAAAAATTTCAAAAATATTAAAGTTTAAGGAGATAAATGCGGTTTTTTAAACTTTGCTACAACTGCAACTTGCTGCAGTCTCCAAAAACTTTTAACACCAAAAGCTTTAAAGGGGACATCAAAAGTTCTAATTAGCAGGAATCAAGGAAGCGCATAGCTTATTTTTTAGACTGTCATACATGATCAGTGATTAAATAAAGAAATAAAACATAGAAATGAGGTCAGGAATTTTTTGCCGACCTCGAACATTTTTAGGTCGGCAGTTAGGTCGGCATTGCCAAATGCCTATTCTAATTCCAAGGTTTGATAAAATTGTAAAGACAAACCTTCACTCCTTGATTTGCAACAAGTTTTTGACTCATTCTCCTTTATTTGGTTTATACTATGATCTTACTAAAAGTTTTATCTCCTACTTCTTCTACATCAGATTCACCATATCATCAGATCACCATCATCAGTATCATATCATCACACTTTATTATTATATACACTTTTTATTACTTCTTTAAAGCTGATTAAAATATATTGTGTTAATTTCTAAAAGATTTTCCTTGGGCTTGTGTGTTTTAAAACTTCTTCTACAAATTGCAACACGTATATAATCTCCTGTATTTAAACAGATAAAAAAGTTTTAATTCCATTTCATTTTTTATTTTTTTTAGCTTTAAGTTTTTATTCCAGTTCATTAAGTCAAGTTAAGATTTAGTTTATAATAAAATTTTAGTTACAAAAAGAAATTTAGTTACAAAAAAATAACAAATTAAGTCATCGCTCTATCATATCACTTTCTTCTTATTGTGCAGCGGTAGTTTCAATGTAATACCAAACAATTATTTTCAGATTTAAAGATCTATTTTTTGATCTTAGAATTTGGGTTCTTTTGCAACTTGAGACTTGAAAAATGATTAACAATATCATCACCAAAGGCATCTTCCTGTAACCTGTAACTGGAGGCTGAGCCTAATGTATTAATCAAATGCATTTGTGTTTGAACCTTCATATCAATAGATTTGAGGCCATTGTATTGTTTATAATGTTGAATAAGGTCACTTTTCTAGTCTCCAAACTTCTAAAGTTGTCAAACCTAATATTTTAAATCTCCTTTTATATCCCAGAAGTCATAGTTCTAGTATCATTTTAGTGGCTTTTCTTTGAATTTTTTTGAGTTCTTTGATATCTCTTATGTAATAAAGATAACGAGTTTAAATTGCAAACTCCAAATCTAACATACAAGCGTTATTTAGTAGTGCAAGCATACTTTTAGTTTTATGGGAAGCATTTTTTGTTTGTTTTTTTCATTTCATATCTTTGGAAATATAAACAACTAAACCTTTTTCAAGCGTAGATTTTTCTATTTCTTTAAGTTTGCCATCATTTTTCATGAAGTAAAGATATCTTTAATCACTTGCACCAAAAAGCATTATCTCAAATTTTTGGAAATTCAATTTCTATTCATACGATTATTCATCAAGACTTTTCACGTCATTTTGAAATAATTTTGACTCAACCTTGGCAAAAATAGGTACAACAATTTTATTTCATAAGCGTACAAACAACATTTATTAATAAATCTGGTATGTAAATTATTTACAAATATCAAGAAAAGGAGTGAACCAAGCACAGGACCCTGTCGTACCCCACTTAATATACTCACCCAATCTGTTTTTCATTCTCCCATAACCACTTTTTATCTTTTTTGATAAGAATGATTCAACTTATTTAAGAAGTATACTAACAGTTTTATGTGGGATACTCTGTTGAATGCTTAAGGTTGATATACAAAACATTAATTGGAATACCATTTAACAATGCCCCTCTTAAGATGTCAAGAAATTCTAGAAAATTTGTGGCGCAGCTATTTCCTATAAGAAAACTATGCTGTTCTTTTGCTAATAGCTTGTTTGATATTATGTGCTTTTTTATACTATCACTAATGATTCTTTCTAACATTTTACATAGAGTTAACATAAAAGATACAGGCCTGTAGTTTGTTGATTTCTTTCATTGTTTTACTTGTATTTATTAATTTTTCATTGGATGACTTTCATTGGATAGGCTGAGCAAGTGAATTTAAAGAGTTGAACACATGGCTCAAATTAAGCATCTTGCAATCACAAATCCAAACTGCTTTTCGGACATTAAAGATTATTTTTTTATCAAATAAAATAGGATTGCAAAATGTAAAGCAATATTTATAGCTTTATATTTTATCAATAGAGTGATTTTGAAATTTTTTCGAAACCTTTATATCAAAAATCATTTATGTTAAGAACAAGACTACAACCAAACTAAATTAACTTATTTGTTAAATCTTAAAAAAAAAAAAGGAAGTAATTTCACAAGAAGAAAAGTAATAAATACTCATTGAATTCATTACTGCAAGCAACAACAACAACAAGCTATTTATTTTCCGTAAATCATTTTACAATAGTTTTGATAATAATGATAATAATAATAGTAATAATAGCAAAAATATATAATAATAACATAAGATAAAAAAAATAATTATACAAATTATAGTAATGGTAATAATAAGTATGTTTACAATAACTACAATAAAAAATTAATAATAACTAATATTAATATAATAATAAGTTAATGATTTATTAGGATGGTGTCACTCATACAGAAATCTGATCAAAGGAGTGACACCAATTTTTAATATAAGTAATAATAAGCAGAGACAGACACTGAAACACATGGATCGTAAACACACAAACCAAAGCACATAAAATATACATCAAAACAAACATGTAGAAATCAATTTGCAGGTTTTACTAATTAAAAAAAAAAAAAAGTGCTGATGATAATTGTAGTAGTTACGAAAAGAAAATTAAAATAGCATTTAAATCATAAAGATAATAATGGCAAAAAGTTAGAATAAAAAGTTTTTCAGAATTTTTTTAAATTGATATTGTTTAAGATGGAGTAAAGGTATTTTAGGATATATTTTTTTGGACTCATTCAAAATGCATGCAAGACTCCTGTTCCATTCACAGATGCACTGATAAACAATAGAATGTTTACCATACTACTGGGTTTTCAAAAGATGGTACATTTAGTTTTCCTTTGTGTATATTTCTAGTCGAGTAGGAATGTAATAGTCTAACAAGACTTGATCTTGGTATTATAAATATATGGCTGAATTAAAAATAATTTATTAAATTGTTATTGAAAAAAAACAAGCCAAATAAAAAAATGCAATATTTTCAGTAAGAAATTTTAACATTAAAAACAAAATAGGAGTGTATAATAAATAAACAGGAGTTTTAAAGTATGTAATTAATCCATTCTACTTAGTACCTTGTGATTCAATACAAAAACGGAATCCAAACTTGATGCAAACCTTAAATAGCTGACATTTAATGTACCATACTAATCCACTGTGTCAGTAAATATTATGATAAAAAATGATATAAAATAATATGTTTTTAGTTAAAAAATTTAGTATAAAATAACAACATCAAAAACAACCTGTGGACTAGTATAATAAATAATGCAACTAAAAACAGTGTTTATAAAGATAATAAAAATATAATGAACATGCACTGAACATGCAAAGAGACAGTTAAAAAATTTTAGCACAGTCATAACCAAGCAGAATTAAGTAGTTAATTTATTGTGGTAATAATAATGCTTGCAGTCTATTCATATATGAAATTTCAAGGAGCCCAAGACATAGACTAATGTTGTTTGTTAGAGGCATGTCCTCACATATTTAACTATACCTACTTTGATACCCTAACAAATTTACCTTAACCTCAAAATTTCTTATGATACCCTCATTATTTATATAAAACTTACCTTGAATTGGTATACCACTTAAATCTGAGTATAGCACTCTTTGAAATGGTTGATTACCAGGTGTTAGATTCCATGAGTCACTTTCATTCGTTTCAAAACTAGAGCTCCAAACATTTGATGAATATACACCTAAAATATATGTATTTGGCAGTGTTTATTAATAACAGATTTCAAATTTCATAAACAAAAACAATATTCTTTAAAAAACTAAGAATGTTTATTTTTTTTCAATTTCACTTTTTTTGAAGATTTTCAAATGCTAATGCCTCATGCAATCCTAAGAAGACTACTATAGTAGCGATTCCAGGGTCCAATGAAAAACATTGAGTTTTTGACAAAAAAACACATAATTTTTATGAATTTTACTCTCTTATATCATTTTTTATAATAAAACTAGAATCTTGATGATTTTTTGCATCAATTAGTTTGACTCAACTTCTTTCCAACCATATATATAAAGTACTACATTTAAAATGGCTTCTATATATTTTTCATGTCTTAAGACCACTATTGATAAAAAAATTTGCAGTGGGACACGTTTTTTCAAAAGCTGTTTTAGAAGAAAAGATTTCCTAAGCACCAAAACACATCTAATTTGTATGAAACTTTCCGTATATATTTAAAAAAGGATGAGGAATCTATGAATGTGGACTTTTTTAACATTCATACATAATTTTTAAGTTCTAAGCGTTTAAAAACTTCAAGGTTAATTTATATAGAACAGTGTTTTTGAAAGAGTCCATGTGGAAATATTAATTTTAGCCTTTCCTCAGTTTAAAACTAGTATTTTATTTATGTTTTTTGAAGAAATAGTAGTAAGGAATTTCGTTCAGAATTATGTATATAGTGTTTTAATTCCTTTGCGTATCATTTGTTTTGATTTATGCGCTTGATTTTTGATGTTTTTTTATTTAAAATAAAAACAACAATTTAGATACATACAACTCATTTATCTAATTCACAAAAAAAATCCATTAAAACATCAAAAAAACAGGTATAACAATAAAAAACAACTAGGTTCCTGATATATAACACATTACTTGAAAAAATCTTTTTCAATTTTTATATTTATTGTAAGCTTAAAAATATATTTTTTTAAATATAAACCTAGAAAGCTTAATAAAAACAGCTGTTTAAATCTAATATCTACAGTTGATAATTTTTTTTTTTTTTTTTTTTTTTTTTTTTGAGATTCTCAAAAACACAGAAATTGATTATTACTTTTAAAATAATAATCTTTTTTATTTTATATTAAATATTATTTTTAAAATAATAATAAAAACAATTTTATATAAATTTCATACCTCTTTATTTTTAACTTCATTAATGCTGCATAACTTATGATATTTAGATTTTTATAGGAGAAAAAATATTAAATATCTTAATAGAGATATTTTAAAAAAATAAGGTGGGTACAAATTTGAAATAAATAAATTCGTTTTTTAAATTTTTTTGAAAACCACGTGAGTTGTATTTAAATGTTTTTAATTTGTACGGACCTGATTGAGGTAGTTTCAAGGTCCATTAAAAAAGGAAAACACTAAATCCAATCCTTTAAAGTGCAATCTAAGTTTTACTGACCGATGCGATCTCCAACGGAAATATAAAATAAAAGAAACTCTGAGATTTTTAATAACATTTGATAACATTTGTATTTAATATTTATTATTAATCATGTTATTATTAATAATATTTTTGTTTAATATCAATTTGATAACATTTATATCACATTGTAAATGCCGTAATCGGGTCTAAAATTAAAAAAAAATATTCAAACAGCACTTTGACGGATTGGATTTAACGTTTCCCATTTAAAAAAGGCTCTAATAGCTCATAGCTGTTATACAAGATGTTGTTCATGCCCGTACCGTGGTGGTCGCTGGGTGCAATTAACCCCTTTTTTTCACCAAATTCACTTGTTTCAATCAATTTTTCTTATAAAAATCAAGCAAGGTTTTTATTAGCTATTCTAAACTGTTTTTTATTTCAAAAACAAACAGAGAAAAAAATTGGCTAATATTACTCGGAACCTGTCTTACTTCCTGTTAATCATGTTAAGTACAAGCTATTCCGAGTGATCCTGTAACGTTTTTGCCTAATATGCTAAATCTGATTAGCCTCCGATCAGGAGGGCGACACCAGCATTTTTTGATCTTTGAGCTAACTTCCAGAAGCTAACTTCCAGAAATGGAGCAAACTCCAAACATTTTTATGTTTTTACTTATTTCAAATAAGGATGCTTTGCAAAAAATTGCGAAGATTGGAACTTGAGAAAAAAAAAGCCCCAAAATTTTGCTCCCCCTGCCCAAAACGTGGGAGCAACGAGTTGATGAAATATTTTTTGTACTATTTTCAACTAGACTTATATTCATCGATAAATTTTAAGTTTCATAGTATTATCTCTCAGTGTTCAAAATTATGACAATATAAAATTTCCAACCCCCTAAAATTTTAGGGTTTATATACTTTATATGGTCATAATTTTGAACGCTAAAATATTTTACTATAAAATTTAAAATTTATAAAAAAATGTAAGTCTAGATGAAAATAGTACATAACACATTTCATCAAATTGCTGCTCTCGCGTTTTGGGCAATGGGGTCAAAATTTTGGGGCATTTCTGTTCCCAAGCTCCACTCATCGCAATTTTTTTACAAGCATCTTTTATTTGACGTATAAATGTTTGGAGTTTGCTCTATGCCTGAAAGTTAGCTATGTCAAAGGCCAAAAAATGCTGGCAGCACCCCTGCCTCCAATTAGTCTGATGATTACCGAGCACTCTTAGTAAGTATTTAATAAGTACTTATCAGGATTAAACGAAATATTTAGAAAGTACTTAGTAATTTTTTCAAAAGTGATGCAAATATAAAAATTCTGACTTTATTATTCGCCATCTGTTTTTTATCAGACGGAAAACATGTCAGCTAAATCTAAAATAGCTTTTTTGAATACAATATTTTTACTAATTAGTATTTGTAATTTTATAGTAGAAAATTTTTTTCACTTTGTGACAATTGCATTGTTTTTTTGTTTGTTTTTTTTGTTTTTTTGTTTTTTTTTGTATGTATGAAAGTGCTCCCAGAAGTCCTTACGGTCTTATCAAAGAGCACCTCAGGTGAGCATTTAACAAATTAAAAGATAATGATTGCTTGTTAATGTGTTTATACGGCTTTTAATATTAATTTTGAAGGTTATAACTCAATATAAATTTTCCCATTTTTTAGTCAGGCTTTAAAAAAGCGAACTTTTCAACCTTATTTAATGAAGACTGAAAGGTCTTTCACCCTTTCAGTGAACATTAAAGTTTACTCTTTTATATAACATATAGAAATATATTTTACTGGTAAATATATTGTTGTTTTCATTGCTATCTGTACTTTGAACAAACTATAGGATTATTGAATATTGTTATATTTTAAACGAAGTAAAAATATAATTTATATTTAGTTTGCATTAGGATTTTGTATGTATGTATGTATGTATGTATGTATGTATGTATGTATGTATGTATGTATGTATGTATGTATGTATGTATGTATGTATGTATGTATGTATGTATGTATGTAAGTATGTATGTATGTATGTATGTATGTATGTATGTATGTATGTATGTATGTATGTATGTATGTATGTATGTATGTATGTATGTATGTATGTATGTATGTATGTATGTATGTATGTATGTATGTATGTATGTATGTATGTATGTATGTATGTATGTATGTATGTATGTATGTATGTATGTATGTATGTATGTGAAATTATAACACCTCTTAGTAGCCTCGACATAAAACTTTGCAATGACATCGCAAAAGGTGGAAGCGTTTATTTAACGTTGAAAAGGTAAAAAAGAAAAAACGAAAGAAAAAATTTTAAAGAACAAAAAAGATAAGTTAAAAATAAAGTAAAATAACAAAAATATTAAAAGGTATAAACAAACTAAAAGATTAAAGAAAAATAAAATAAGAAAATGAATAAAAAACAAATAGATTTATTTAAATAAAACAAAAACAATCAATTAAAAGTGAAGTAACAAGTCTAAAGAAAAGAAGTTCGAAAAATGTTCGCAAAAAAATTTTTAATTCTTGGCGGAAAAAACGAAAAAGCGAAACTTTTTCGTTTTTTCCGCCAAGAATTACAAATATAATTTATTTTATTTTGTAGAAGTTTATGTATTTGCCTTTTTGTTAAGTAGTTTTTTGTTGTTTTTTTGTAGTTTTTGTGCTTGCCTTTTCGTTTGCGTAACGTTTGTTATTATTTGTGCTGTTGTTGCTAATTATTTTTAGTTTTATTCGCCGTTGTTATTAATTGAGTGTTTTCATTTTTTTTTTATCACCATTTTTTTTTTTTTCATATTTTTATAATTTAATTTATTATAATTTTTTTTGTTTTTTTTTAAATTAGTTTAATTTACACTTGCTTTTATTTATTAATATCGCTGTTGAATTTTGTGTTTGTTTGTTTATTTTATTTAGGCGTCACTTTAATGACTAGTTTTTTAACCATATCAGTGACACCTAACCTATTTTTGTAAAATTGTATAAAAAAATGTAATTTTCAAGTTTAGGTTGAATTTATAAATGGATAAATATCTAAAGTTTTATCTATCATAAGTATATTTTACAACAGAGTTTAACATTAACTAATCGTAATTCCCTAGGCGATGCACATGTAAAGTAATAATTATATACGCAAGTGATAAAACAAAATAACTATCAAAAAAAAATTATAATTATCAGAGCCGACGAAAAAAAGGAAGGGGGCGAAGCAGCACGTGCTTACACCCCCCTTACCCCTCCTTCCCCCACACGCACACACTTTTTTTTAAAGGCTTTTTTTTTTTAAAGAGAATTCTAGATAATATGGATTTTTTCTGAAATTGAAAATTGTATTCTTTCGCTTTGAAACTCGTGTCGTCGGCCCTGATTATTTATGACAGTATATATCTATGTATATATGTATGTATGTATGTATGTATGTATGTATGTATGTATGTATGTATGTATGTATGTATGTATGTATGTATGTATGTATGTATGTATGTATGTATGTATGTATGTATGTATGAACAGTATCGGACAAAACAAGTGCAACCAAATAATGCTAATTTAGTTTCTTCTTTATATAAAAGTGCTGCATTTTTTCAATTTAGAGAAATAACTATGTAACTGTTTAGAGACAACGTTCTTCAAGTTTTATTCATCACAAAAGTCATTATTTGTACACGAAAATTAATAAATTAATCGAAAGTATTAAAAAAAGTTGATTTCCTTCTGGACAAAACATGTGCAACTCCACAAAATGTTGACCAAGCTGTATTTCGCTATCAATATTTCGTTGCAAATCCTTTGTTGTCGATCACAGCCTTGCATCTTCGAGTCAAAGATTCGATCAGGTAATCAATGAAACTTTGTGGAATTGCTGCCCAGGTCTTTTGGATTTGTTCAAACAGTTGATCCTTATTAAGAACACCTTTACGATTAATTCTGCAGTTGACAATCTCCCTCTATTGGTCCTAGACCGTTAGCAGAAAAACACCCCCAGACCATTACATTGCCTCCTCCATACTTCACGGTCTTATAGCAGTAACGTAAATCGAGGCGTTTTCCGGCCGGTCGACGTACACGGCAAATGCCATCGCTCCCAATGATGTTGAACTTCGATTCATCACTGAACAGGACAGTTCGCCATTTCTGCACATTTCAGTCAATATGAGATGTAGCAAACAGGAGTCTTCTGGTTCTTTAGTGAAATCAGCGGTTTCTTTGCAGGGCGTCGAGAAAACAATCCGGCTTTAACAGCACGTCGTCTGATTGTTCGGTCCGATACAGGCAGCTCTAATTCCTCGATCCCTGGATATCTCGACTGATGATATCCAGGAATCCTTCTTGACGGATCTGACAATCATAGAATACTCTCTAAAAGTGATGGAACACGTTCTTTCACCTATGTTATCTGCTGCCAACTTCCCCGTAGAACGATATTTGGAACATAGTCTTGATACGGTCCATTTTTTCACGCGATGTTTATCACAAATACTTTTTTGTGTCATTCCACTTACGTAATCGCCAATAATTTTCTTTCTTAAATCCAATCCAAGACTGTCGGGAGCCATTTTTACACTTGAAGTCATAAAAGTAATAAAAATAAATAATCACGCTTCTCAGACATGGTATAGTATTAATATTTAAAATATTATCATATAGTCTATATATAAACTTTATGTCTGAATTAATGAGTCTACAAAATAAAAACACGTCTCAGCTAGAAAAATTTATTTAACTTATCTTCAAGAGTTACTTTACAATATTCGCGTATGAAAATACGGTTCCTGGGTATTGCTCTGCTCCCCAACATGCTTTGACGGCCTCATACATTTTACGGCTTGCTTCTGTTGAATACTTTTTCAATCTTGTCTTTATAAACTGTCCACACACGCCACATAATAAAATGCATATTTGCTGGATGCAAACTACATATTGATGCCATTTAAATTAAAAAATTGCTTATCAAATATAATTCGTTTTTCTTATATTCACCAATAACATGAATTGAAATGTTAGTTTGAATCATCTTGATAGTTCAGAAATATTCTGGAAAACTCTGAAAATTTCTAGTAATTCAACCAGTTCAGGAATATTCTAAAAGAATGCTTTGTATTTAATATAAATTGAGTATTTTCTCTAAATTTTAGAACTGCGTTGTCTCGATCACAGAAGCAATTTTTTTGAATTGTTCTGTGAGCAATTTTTGAAACAACAATAGACTCTATTTGTTTTTGGCAATAATAGGTTTGAAAGTTTTAACCAAGGACGAAAAAAAGTTAGAAAAGTTTCAACCCAAGGACGAAAAAGAGTTAGGAAAGTTTCAACCCGAGGACGAAAAAGAGTTAAGAAAGTTTTAACCCAAGGACAAAAAAGAGTTTGGAAAGTTTCAACCAGAGGACGAAAGAAAAGTTGTGTAGTGTTATATTAATAAGCTTAGAACAAAAAAAAGTAAATATTTTTTCATTAAACTTCACAGAAATGGATTTAAATCTAAACCATAGAACTTTTTTTTTTTAATTTATGCATATTTAGAGTTACTAAATATAAAAAATAAACTTATAGATAACGTAATAACACTAGATACTAGCAGCATTATAAAATATGCAAATATTATATTGCAATCGTACTTAGTCGTTACTCATGCTTATCTTTATTGCTACTATCAAAAATCATTTACCTAAACATTTTAACATTTAACAGAAAAAAAAATCCACTTACCATAAAATACGCGATTAAAAATCCAAAACAAAAAAAACCATAATTTCATTTTTTTATAATTTCTTCACCTTAGATAAAATTCTTAAAAACTTTTTAAAACTCTTTTCAAAAAGTTTAAACTTAGTTTAATCACTTCATTAGTTCGAATAACTTTTAATGATCTCTATTTATAAATATATATTAAAAAATTTGGATTAAATCATAAAAGGAGACCATGAGTCATAACTTGCCTATTGTTATTAAGACAATGTGAAAAAATATTATAACTAAGAATCAACTTTTTTGAAATAGTGAGTTTTAATTAAAACAAAAAGTACTAATAACATAAAATAGATGAAACCTAATTACAAAATCATTAAAATTTCAGTTATCCTTAAGCTTAAAAGCATAAGCGGCGTAAAAGGAAGTACACGTTTTTTCGACTAGTACATCTAGATGTACTAGTAGATGTACTAGAACTAGAAAGCATTTTAAGAGCTTTATTTTTCAAATCTAGTTCTAAAGCTTCTTAAATTTCTTAATTTATTAAGAAATTTAAGAATCTTATTAAGGTATTTCATTTGCAATCAAATGGAATTCCAAATGACTGTGCGTGGAAAAAAAAAATTCGTTTAAAATGTTATTCTCCGTTGTAGATAACGCTTTTTTATAAGAAACTAATAGACGCCTAATTTCTTATAACAAAAAACAACGTATAGCAAGATATAAACTCTCGTCTAAAGACTTGCTTGTTTAAACAGTGTGAATCTTTTATCCTATAGCATTTAATACTTGATATAACTAGACCTCTGACCCACCGCCAATATCTGTCGCGGCCAATTTATGCATTTGCCACCATCAGACGATTTGTTTTTGCTACGCCAAATGTAGCCTGTAGTCACACTATCAACCGTCTCAAAACAATGCCATTATAAAAAAAATTTAGTTTTTGATGAATGTAAAATAATAAGGAGAAATTATTATGTTTATTTGGTAGTTTTATTGTTATTGCTAACTCTTGGTAGAAAAAAGTTATCTTTTAAACTCGTTATTTTGCATTGTTTTTTAACAATACAACCTACTGTTTTTTACTGAAAATAAATTTTTATGCTTTAATCATCAGACTTATTTTATTTGTATAAATAAATAGGTCTGGAATTCAACGAAAAAAGCTTTTAATTCGAGGTTCAAACAAAAAATACATACTAAAACTCTAATATCCGCTATTTTTTTTTAAAGCAACTTCAAGACAGCAAATTCGTAAAGTAGTTTAAGAAATAAGTTTTTTAAAACAAGAAATGTATTCGAATTTACGTTTACATATTGACAATTAGCAAAACTTTATTTTATTCTTAGTAAATACATTTTAGATTTTACTCCTCAGTAAATATCTAAATAAAATTATAAATAAAAAAATTTAAAAAGTTTAAATGCAATAAAAATGCTTTTTTGCGCACGCTGTATTTTTGCAACTTAGGTTTTGCTTAATTCTATCCAACGATTTAATTATTTTATTTTCTTTAAACTTGGTAACACTTCAAGTGTTAAATAGATTAATTTATTGAAATACGAATGCTTATGTCAATCGTAAAATTACCAGTTTATCACATGCGTTGGAATATTGAAACAAGATTGCATCTTAGCGATAATTCTAGCAAATACTCTAGCAAAGAATAGAGATAAAAAACTTGCTTACTTCTAACTGTTGTTGATTATGTTCTAACTGTTGTTGATTATTTCAATAGAAAACAACAACTGTATTTCATTTGAATCCGAAATAAAAATTTGGTAGATGAGCAAATTGAGTAGATGGCAATTTTACCCAAAAAAAACTGTTAAAAGGATTAAAAAACTTTATGAGATCTGAGTTTTCTAGACCTATACAAGATTTTTTCTTATACACTAGTTAATTAAATAAAAATAAAAAAAGGTAATCTACATTTTAATGTCAAAATTAATTGAGACATGGCAAAAAAATTTGAATAATTTTATAATATTTGATTTTGATCCATTTTATTAGGTTTATTACTGAAGAAAATGCAATACTTAACTACAGCGACAAAAACAACTGTTATCTTAAAAGATTTCCCATTAGCTGTAGTTGAAATTATACATAACTAGGGAATTTGAAGTTTTATTTTTAAAATAGTTGCTAGAATTAACAAAGTGGTATAAAAACAATCATTTCGACGCATTGTAATCCAAATTGAAAGTGATCTAATATTAGTTAAAAAAGTTTATAGATAGAATTGAAGAGATCCTAACGATGAACTTTTTCATTAAAAATACAAAAAATAAAAACAGAAGTCTATTGTTCAAGTGAGCTGTTGAAACATTTTTTTATTTTGTATCACATTGGCGTTTCCTAAAAAAAAAAAAAATTCCTAAATTTTATATAAGTCCTTTATAAAATTGAGGACTTTATACAAGAGAAAGGAGACGTTCATTAATTTTTGGAAAACTTTCTTACTCACCCTAAGCTTATTGAACCCCTCTCCCCAGTTTGTTAATTTTTACTTGTTATCAACAAAAAATAAAAAAAATAAAAATTCAGTGAAAATCGGTCTTGAATACTAGAAAATATTTATTTCAGTTAACGACAAAAAAAAATATTTTGTTTTTGTCGGTAAACAGGCTTTAAAAATTGTCAACCTTGTAAATCTTGGTTTGTCGAAAATGAGCTTTTGGTTTATTTCTCACCAAATTTTAAATATTTGCATATTAAATTCTATCAAAATTACAATAAAACAGCTGTTAGAAAACGCGCCTTTGAGCGCAAGCCACTCTTGAATTGAATAGTTTTAATCGTGTTTTGTGAAAACTATTAGTTTGGATTAAGAAATTTTTTTTTGTCAATCTTTTTTTTGCCTTTTAATAATATATACAGTTTCGAAGCATATAAGCAAAGATAAAAATCAGCGGGACAAGAAGAAGACTTATTTAGCCTTATCACCGAGCCCCATTGTCACGTATTTATAAAAACCGTAATATTTAAATATCTATAGCTGACAAACTATTTATTACAAAAAAATATAAAAGTAAAAGAGATAACAATTCGTTGTCATTTAAAGAAAAATTTAAAGAATCAAAATTTAAGGAAAGAGTAACATCAAGTGAATAAAAAATAAATAAGATATTATCATTTGCATAAAACTTAAAAACTTAAACTAAGATTTAAAAATAAAAAGTAAATTAATTAATATACACCATAGAAATAACATAAATAAATTAGTATACTTCATAGAAATAACATAAATAAATTAGAAAACGCCATTGAGGTAATACCATAATGAAGGCAATAAAAAAAAAAAAAATGTTGACACACTGTGACATAAATTTGTATTAGTTATTTTTTTTATTTGAGTTTCAATTAAAAAAAAAACATTCAATATTGGATATATTAAAATCCATAAATAAGAATGCCTATTTTGATTTATTTTTAAATTGCTCTATACTAGTTTTATGTGTATTTACAATCTTGGAAAATATTTATGAACGATTTTTTCAAAATAGGATTAAGATATTTTAGAAGATAATCCTATATTTGTTTTATACATGATTATTAAAACTTGGTGTAAGGTGATTTTACATATATTTAATACTCCAAGTATACACAGAAGAGGCTCTCAAGGTACAGTTCTATCAGCTCCAAAAATTGTTCTGCACGCGTATTTTTGTTTACAGTAGAATCTTTTTAATTTTGTATAGTTTGTGCTTGCCCATGCAATATTGCATTAAATTAAATAACAATGAATAAAAAAGAAATATGAACTTTTTAAAGAACTATTGTTTAAAAATGGTTGAGTCCTATATATCATTGCTAAATTTTTTAATATTTTATTTTCAATACTTTTTATATGTAAAGTCCAACGAAAATGTTCATCTAAGATTACGCCTAGAAAGTTTACTGAGTTTTCTTTTTTAATGTTAGTGCTATGGATTATTAGATTAGGCAATTTAATGGAAATATTTTTTGATTTATTCATTTTGTGGAACAAAATAAATTTGGTTTTATCCACATTTCGAGAAAGTTTTTTACTTATAAACCACTCATTAACTTTCAATAACTGTTTGTTTGTTGTTTCAAATAGTGTATTAATATTAATGCACTATATATATATATATATATATATATATATATATATATATATATATATATATATATATATATATATATATATATATATATATATATATATATATATATATATATATATATATATATATATATATATATATATATATATATATATATATATATATATATATATATATATATATATATATATATATCTGTGATACAATACAATGTGATGTAATACAGATATATATCTCTGTGGGAATAAAAAAGATTGGAGTCATCTGCAAAAAGAATACAATTTAATTAGTTTGTTGCTAAATTTAAATCATTTATGCACACTAGGAAAAACAGTAGTTTTTTGAAAATTGAGATTGTTTTAAAAAACACTTATCTTGTAACATATTATTGTAATCAATTTTATTGCGCTGATTAAACGATATTACAATTTTCATATAATCATCTAAAAAAAAAAAAGGAATATCGTACACATAAAAAACCGTCTCAGATTGTTAGACTACAAAAATCTCAACCTACTAAGTTGTTCTACAAAAAGAACATCTGCTAAAAAGTAGAACTAATTTTCAGATAACCTACTGAGGCATAAATTGTTTTCAATCGATTATAGTCTTCTTAATTTTCAACCGATTTGTGACGTTTTCGTTTTCGACCAATTTATTCTTCAACCTATTTTATAGATTTTCATTTTTAACCGATGTGAGATTTTAAACTGATATCTGGTCTGTGTTTTTGACGGTATTTTTTATTATACTTCGAAGTTTTTGCTTTTTTTAAATAACAATCAATATGTTTTCCAAATATTCATCAAACCTAATACCTCCCGATTTTTTTACCAATGCTAATCCAACCAAGTTTGCTGATCCAACCAATTCTGATCCAACCAAGTTTGATCAAGTCTGATTAAAATTGGCTCGTATTTAAATCAACAACAAAGTATACAAAATACATACATGAAATATGCAGTTATAAAATTTAAAATAAGTTAT